TCCCAGAATTGGGGCATTGAGGGCAGGGTTGGGGGCCCAATTCCTCAGATCAGACAGGGGCTCTGGCCGCCAGCACCTGCTTGTAAAACACTGCGGGTTTCCCCCGTGCAGGGCTGGTCGGGCCACCCGACAAAGGCAGAGTGGCCAGGAGAGGAGCTCGTGGCCAGGCTGTGTCCGTGCTGCCCGCCACGCTGCAAGGGAGGAACATTTTTCCAGCGGTGGTGGCCAGATGGCAACCCGGGACCTGTCTGATGTTGCTGGCAGATCTCGGGGCTTTAAGCCTCCTTGTTTCCAAAGTGTTTTTCCTTGAATTGTGAGAAACGTCCTGTGTGTGGGTGCAGCAGTGACCCCCGTTGCTCCCCACGCGTGCCTAGCGGGGCCGTCCTGGCACAGGGCTGTGCGACAGGCGGCGTGTCAGTCGTCCCACCCCGGTGTTGTGCGGTGGTAACCTCTCCCCCAAGGAAATGCTGCATTCTCCCGCATGTTTGTGCTCATTGCTGCCAGAAGTGACTTTCCCTTGTGATTTTCCCTAATGCTAGAGAACAACCATCACACTGGACACTAAATAGCCGGAACGCCGGGGCCCAGCAGCCATCATCTCCCATTCCCATCCATGGCGTGTGGGGCTGAAGCTTCGAGGGGGAACTGTCTCTTTCTGTCTGCATTAACCCATTATCATACTTTTTAAACAGCTCAGTAACAAAACCCTTGACAGAGAAACCACAGACTGGAGACCCTACAGCTATCTGAATGAACTAGGTTAGTAATTTTTGCACCATTTAATCATTTTAGTAGACGTCAGAGCATTTCCAGATCCAAATCTGCCTTTCATAAAGGCATTAGCAATAATGAAGACTATTGGTATTGTCTTTATTTCACTATCAGAATTGCCAGGAGTTGAAAGGTCGGGATTTGGAAATCGTTTCCTTTAGCACAAAGCAGCGATTCGAGGAGCAGAGTCAATCCTCGCTCCGGGCTCACTTCCCACCTGCTTGGTTCAATTGTTCCTATATTTGATAAGTGTTTTTTTTAAGGGCAAACACAGAACAGTGAAAATTCAGATTTGGGGTTTGCTTTTTCCTTTTGTGAGTAGTCCAGTTTAGTGCCAAATCTCGTCATCTCAGCAAACCCCTCTGCGCCGCCCCCGGGGGCTCTGGGTTACGGGCTCAGCGCTGCTGCCTCCCGGGTGCTCTTGTACAGGAGCCGTTTTTGAGGCCGTTTTGAACCCCTGGCCAGTGCAAACCAGTTGAGATCGAATGGCCCCTTCTCCATTTATCCTCCCAAGCTTCAACTATAACAGGACTTTTAGCTGCTCTTTCTCAAAACCTAGCCAGATTTAGTGCTTCACCTGCTAGCTGTTTTCCAATCCAGGTACTTGGAATTCTGTTTGTCAGTGGCAGAGCTTTTCCCTTTCCCTTACTGGGATTACCAGCATCTTACTGGGAACACAGTATGAGGGAAAGCGCAGCACGAAGTGGTGATACGGGATTTAAGGTCAACCATCTCATCTGGTAAAGCCATGAACATGAGGCCCCACCAGACATCCCATCTCGTCACGCTCTTTGGGTCGCACACCATGGCTTGCTCCAAGGATGGAGTTCTCCCTGCATCAGGAAAATCACAAAATGGTCGAGCTCTGCTGTGAAGCTCTCTCCATCACCTGCAACCATCAGGGTTTTCTCCTACACAGCCACCTGCAGAGCAGCCCTCGTGCTTGGCTGTGATGCCTTGGCGAGCGGGGGGTGCTGAGGATTTCCAGCTGCTCCTTGAATCCACTTGATTTTCCGTTTGCAGCTTCACTCACTGGCTTTATTTGGTTTTCTCTGCGGTGTTGTGAGCTCCCTGCGTGCCACACTTGCCCTAAATTCTTATTTTACCAGTAGAAGCAGAGCCGAATGCTTTTGCAGTACGAGTGATATGCAGCAGTGATAAATACTTTACTGATCGCCAGCAAAAATATGAACAACTTTTTCCATAGTGTTTGGCAGCCCAGATTTTCATTTGAGACCTTTATCCCCGTTTCAAAATGCCTATTTCATGCAAATGATAAAAATGAGATATTTTTTCTTTCTTTTCAGCACCAAAACTAGTGTTTGTTTATGCTGTCTCATAACATTTTTGTGCTCTTGCTCTGGCTGCAGTGATCCCAAAGGACAGGCTTTTCACACCAGCCAAGTGAGACACCAGCTCACAAAACGCCTGTAGGCTCCTTAGGAGCCTTAGAGGCTCCCTTTTCAAGTGGGAGATACAAGGAGCAGAGCAAAGGCTGTTAGAGCCTGCAGGAAGACAGGAGAGCATTTAAATAACTCCATATCATCCACATATTCTAAATTCTTCTGTCTGCTGGTTAGTGGGATTCCTGCTGGAGAGGGACCTGCTAGAGAGGGCACAGAAACCTTTGGCCAGGAGCAGGTTCGTCAGGTCTGCTGGATCCCACTGCCTGCGAGGGAACTTGCTGAGCCTGGCTCTGTTGCCACCAAGCAAGAGCCTTGACTATTTACTGGGTGCGAAAAAGACTGTTGTGCTGTTAAGCCAAGCTCTGGACACGGCAGGCTCTAGGTAAGACAGGGTTTATCTCCTGTGTGGTTTTCCTTAGCAGCAGCCTCCGTGCGGAGACTGAGCGTGATTTGCAGGATGTCCCGCATGCCTTCGAGCTGCGCTCACCCCACGGGACGGCTGATGCCAAGGCCTTGGACTCGAGGCTGACCTGGCATTTTCTCGGAGCCAAGAGGTGTGGGAAGACACTGCAGGCAGCTCCTCCCGTTGCACCCAGCCGTGTTCAGTTTCTCCCGAAACCTCCTCATTAACTGCTTTTGCACTTTACAGACTAATGACTGCATCGCTCAGCAATGAACACATGGAAGTGTGTTATCAAAGCACAGAATTATAAGAGACAAAACTGCAGGCAGAATTAAATGGCACTGACTGGAAAGGGCTTTGGGGATCCGCAGCCTTCCCAAGGCAGGATCACCTCTGCAGTGTCCTGCTTTCCTTGGGAATCCCTCCGTGATGGAGCTTCTCGGTTTCCCGCAGCTGCTGCAGCCCAAGGAAGGCGGCAGCCTGGGCAGCAAGCGCTGCTGCTGAGCCACGTGTGAGGTTCCCTGGGGCCGGCGCGGGCTCCCTGTGGATCCTGCCCTCCTGGAGCAGGATCCTGCCCCGCTGGAGCCGGGGCTGGTGCTGGAGGCCCATGCGGCTGCAGCTGATGTTGCCCATGGATCTGGCAGCAGTGCTGGTGGGGCTGCGCTATTTAAAAATGATTGGAATGTAGTTTTCCCAACACTGAGCCACAAAAATAAGTGCAGGTTGATATTTTTGGGCCCTCCCAGCATCCCAAGGGCTCGAGTTTTGCTGGCCTTGTTCAGCTGTAGGACTTGGCGGTCGCCCTGGGGACATCTCTGCGGATGTCACGAGGCTGCTCGGAGCAGACGCGCCGTCCCGCACGCCGAGCGGCGACACAGCGAGTGTCCCAGCGTAACCTCTCGTCTCACAAGTCATGAAATCTTCATGGGCCTCAGCGTAGACACCAGGCCCCAGGAGTTAGGAGGACGCTGGCCTGCAGGATAGCTCCTGCTGTCTCTGTTTATCTCTGATTTCAATGTGAGGTATCCGAATTTCAGCTCACTGGGGTGGATACGGGATGGTCCCGGGCAAGTAACTCGTCCAGCTCTCATGTGGGTGGCAGCTCTTCACATGCATCCCCATGCAGGGAGCACAAACCCTGTGGCCATGAACCACGGGATGGACCAACTCCGATCCCTGTGCTCAGGAGTGCTCCCTAGCAAAAGGAAGGGGACCAAAAGCACCCAGCTAGTGATGGCATTGGTGGAACGAGCACCTTTCCACATGCACCCATGGACTTCCAGCCCTTGTCCTTTGCCTGGCAAAGGAGGCTCTGAGCCCCGGAGCACGGGCTCTTCTCTCTGACGTGTCAGTCACACAGCAGTTGTTCTATCTGATGGTCTCCCACAGCCAGCAAAAAGCCAAAGCTGCACTGAAACGAACTGCAGTGTCATGGTCAGTGATGGTGGCAGTTCCTTCTTTAGAGACCAGAGGACATGCAAGGACAAAGAGCCAGGGGACTTCCAGGACACGCTGTTTGCAGAGCTCTTTTAACAACATAACCAAGTTACTCGGTGGTGGATACTCTGAGCCACTAAAACGTTTCAATTTCAGTAACCAAATTTGTGTTGATTTTGCTAGTCAATAGGAAATATCAGGCTGTGCTGTTAAAAAGATTTAAAGAGTTGCATTAGATTTTCCTCTGACCTGACTGATGTCTAGGACAATGTTCAATAGTGAAAATGGAAGAGGTTTCTGTCCCCTTCCATGTGTAAAGGGTGGCGGGTTCTTCTGCACCCGCCCAAGGCAGAATCTTTGCTCTCAACCCTGCACTCCTAGGTGCTGCACCCTCAGCTGCTGCCCACGCTCAGGGACACGTCACACGGCAGCTACTGAACTGGGCATATTTTTAAGCGAAAAAGTCGTGTAAACTAATGTCAGACTGTGGTGCACAGCACGTTGGAACTCGGGACCATCACTTAACTGCCGTGCTGCCCTCCAAGGAGCCAAAGCCTAAAATCAGCCGCAGGAGAATGTGATGCAACCTGCAGTCTAAACCTCGAATCGATCTGTTTGGGGCTCCTTTGCTGGATCTAACTCGGTCATCCAGTAATGAACAGGCCAAGGACGTTTTCCTGCCCCCTGGGTAGCGATTCCCGGTGATGAGCAGGGTCTGCATCAGGAAAGCTCTCCCTTCCAGGGAGCCTCTGAAGCACACGCAGCATTTGGGGCTCCAAATGGGGCTCCTGGGCATCTCGGGTATGTCCAGGAGCCCGGCAAAGCCGAGCGCCTGCCCACACCTCCGGCTGTGCTTAAGAGCCTCCCTGGAGGAGGACCTGGCTGTACAATGTAGAGGAAAGAATATATGCTGCTCGGTAGTCAAAACAACCCAATTTACATAAATATTTATGTGTTTTCCATTATATATCATTCTCATGCAGGTGCTTGTGGGATGGATAGACGTCAGAACACATACATAATGGAAAAAAGCTTCAAAGGTATGGTATCCCTGCAGCCGCCCTGGCAAAGAGTGCGAGGAGGGTGGCCTAGCGAGGTGAGCTAGGAGCCCGGGACCGTGGCCCTGCACACACAGGCAGGGACAGAGCAAGCTGGAGCCGCGCGGCCGGGAAGCACGGAGGCAAATCCCGCCTCGGCGTGTGGCTGCAGGGACACGGAGCCCGCGGGCCAGGGAGGCTCTGTTAGACCAGCTGCCCCTGCCCCATGGCCATTGGTGGCCTGGGGCTGTGCTCACAGCTCCGTAAAGCCCCTTGGGAGCCTAAACAATGCCGCTAGGAAAAGAAGGTGGCCCTCGCTGCATGGAAAGAGAGGGATAGCGGCGCTTGAGGAGCATCCTCAGGGTGTCAACGTGTCGCGTTGGCAGCCAGGAGGTCCCTATGCACCCATTCCAGGGCACGTCCCCAAGGGGGTCACAGATGACTCACATGAGCCCAGCTCTTTGAGATCTCTCTTGCAGCAGTTTGCACAGATGGTAATAAGGCAAAGCAAACCCCAGCCGGCCTCTTTCAGGGATGCATTTGCCTTGGAATTGGCTGGGCAGAAGGAAAACCTGCATTTTCCCTGGTAGCTCATCAGGAGCCCCCAGGCGGCTGTGGCCAACGTCTTACAGAGCTGGGCTTGGCCCCAGCTTGCTGTGGACACCGCTACTCCAAACTGCTCTGAAGAGCAGTGATCCCTCTAGAGCCAGCCCTGCAGAACGCTCTGCTTTTGTTGTCACTGCTTACAAAATAAAGAAGAGTTTTAGTAAAAAACATCTCCTTACAACCCAGAAAAGAAGAAAAACCTAGCAATAAAACCCAGTAAAGATAAATTTATGGAACAGGTAAATACAAAGACTTGCCTCAATCCACTGGTTTCAGCTATTAGAAAGATTCACTATTTCAGAAAAAAAGCTGCTCTTAGAAGAAAAACAGTTTAATTAATAGGAAAATCAGTTTAAGTTGCTCTGTTTATAAAGGACTTGTAGTAGGAATTCACCTCCATGGCCACAGTCCCTCAGGCAGCACATCCCAAAGGGAAAGAGGAAAAGCCTCTTGGTACAGGGCACTGGGAAAAGCATTGCTGCTGCTCTAGATGTTGGCGTTGAGGATATGGGACTTGGTTCTTTACATGCTTCTTGCTTACTCAAAAAAAAGAAAAAAAAAATCAGGCCTAGAAGCCAAGAGTGTTCTTTGGTGGCATCTTTAGTCACCGGGGAGGGTGAGTGTTGGCAAGGGGAAGACGTTGACCTGGTGAGAAGGGATCAGGACTGCAGGGACATCCAGATCTGCCCGAGGGCCTTAGGGGGTGAAACATGGGGGGAAAAAAATCCCTCTGGGTGCTGCCCTGCAGCTAGAGGGCCCTGCGGTCCCTGTCCCCAGCCGGGCGCCCCAGTCGGGGGGACCCCCTTGGTCCCATCGGCACCGGCCCCTGTGCCCGTGGGGCTGTGCCCACCTGGGTCAGGCCCGGCCGGGAGGCAGCTCCGTGCTGCCCGCGCAGGTTTCTTGCCTGCCCAGGCCCTGCTGCAGCTACAGCGGCTCCAGACCGGCTGCGCGTGGCACTGGTGGGACATCCCCAAGGCCCTAGGAACGAGCCCAGAGATGGGTCTTTATTTCAGCAACACCATCTCCAGGCTTTCCCCTACTTCTCAACCCGTTGGCGTTTATTTGCAAGCAGGGCTGATGCACGGGTGACATGACCAGCTCCAGCACCGGCGTTTCAAGGGACAGGATGTGTAACCTTTGTGCGATGGCCACTGCCAGCCCAGCGGGCAGAAGCTCTGGAGCGCCCGTGGCCGCAGGGGCTGAGCCCGGCGCAGGGGCCGTGGCCGCGTCCCCGGTGACTCCGCCACGGGACAGGGCCATGGAAGGCGCCCTGCACGGAGCGGCGCCCGCAGCCGGGGCGAGGGGCACGCCAGCAGCTTCAGCCTATGTCCTTTAGAGCCCTGCAGAGCAGGAGGCACTGGGTCCTGTCACTCTGATGGCAGGGGATGTGCCAGGAAAAAGGGAGAACAAAGCAGGGCAGGGATGAGCATATCCAGCCTCCCTAAGAGCAAATACAAACCCTGCTGTAAGGGTAGGGGAGCGGCACAAGGCAGCACAGAAGAGGGGCACTCAGATGAGAGCATGAGCCTCCTGGCTGCACAGTGCCTGGTTAGTGCCCACAGAGAGCCGGGCAGCATCACCCACACACCTGTGAACACATTTGTTCTGGCTTTAAACTGATTCACACCATGAGATTTGACAATTGGTTCCAGGCTTTTTAATTAACCCCAAATTGCCTTCATGATAAAGCAGCTCGGCTGCGCCCTGGCCTGTTGTGCAGCATTGGCTGAGCTTGGGCAGCTCTCCTGCCCTGTGGGGGCTGCTCTGTGGCAGTAGGCGTGCTCCACAGATCCCATCCCGTGTGGAGCAAGGGGCTCATCTCCAGCCAGGCACAAACCTGCCATGTGGGGCAGCGGGAAGTGGCTCCCAGGGCTCCCACAGCTCTTGGTGGGGGGTTCCTTGATTTTCCTCCCAGCTGCAAGGACAGGGAGCAGGACCAACAGCACAGGTACCTTCAGCCTCAGGGGACCACTGAGATTTGCCTTTGTTGCCTCTTTGCCTTTTAAACACCCGTCCCAGCCAAGCAGACGCTGCAGGGAGTGTTGGGTGTCACGGGGTGGCCGTGCCGCTCGCTCCATCGCTCCGCACAGGGACGGGGTTTTGCTGCCTGCCCGTCCCCAGCCTCAGGCTGAGGAAGCTGCAGGGTCTGACCCCGCAGCCGGGGAGCGTTTCTGTCACTTCAGTTCTTGTCTCTCCTGTGCTGGCACAAAAGGGAACTGTTCAGTTTGAAGCAGGGCCTTGTTAAGCCTCTCCCAGGCTGCAGGCGCACCAGGAGGTTCATAATTCAAATACTGACTGATGGCTGGGCTGGTGCCAGGGGCTCTCCTCACACGTGCGTCCTTTGCAACACTGAGTGCCCTCCTCTTCCCCCTCCATCGCCTGCACCTGGGCACACACAGGTGTGTGCAACTGGGGCACAGAACAGCGGCCTCAGCTGCAACCTGGCCTGGGGCTCAATGTGTACCTCCAGCTGCAGCACCACGACACACTCGGTGCCCATGCACACATACGTGCACACACATATGCATGCACACACATATGCATGCACACACATATGCACCCGTACACAGCCCCCAAAGCAGCCCTGAGAAGCGCCCCATGGGTGGGCAGGCTGGGGAGGCTGCCCGCGCACACGAGGCTCTCGGAGGAGAAGCGATATCTTGTCTGTCTCTTTCTTAACCTGAATTTCTCTTTTTGTCTCCCATCCTAGACAGCGGGAGCAACTGGGATTGCAGCTATTTTGCAAGCCCCGCTCTCTCACCAGGAGTATTTCATATATACCAGGATCTGCCTTTGCACTGTAACCCAGCACAAGAAAATGCCTCATCTTTCATTGCATCGCTCTAATTCTAAATTAATGGCACTGCCCAGCAGGATGCACACAGCAGCAATGGCACGTTCTTAATTGCAATGTTAA